CACAACTCTATATGTTAAGAACATATATACTTACAATCTGTACACTTGTGAAAAAAAAGTTGCCGCAGATCATATCTAAGAACAACACTGTTCTTGAATGCAGAACACTTGGCAAAAGCATTGACGATCAGTTTCTATCCCATAAAGTAGTCAAGCATGTGCATTACAGAGGGGACAGTGTGGCAGATCATTATAGTACATTTAAATGGAACTGTACTGGTGCTTTGGTTGAAATCGAACTGTCTATATACATTAAACAATTTGGAAAGCTCACATTTTGTCTTAAAATTGATGGTGGTCCCAGAGTGCTGTCGCATCATGACTTATTGCTGCAGAAACAAAAGTGTTTCTACAGCTAGAAAATGCTTAGCCACCAATTTGTAAAGGATTTGTAAAGGAGCCACCACCTTGTAAGGGCTTACTAAACTGATAACACAACTAATAGCTTGTAATATTGATTTGGTCTTTTTTCTTCAATATGTAGCGTGACTAGACTTGGAAAGGAATGGAAGCATAGGCTTGACTTTAAAAAGGAAACTGTAACACGTTTATTGAGGTACAGAAGCTTGATGGTTTCAAAGTTTCCTTTCTCTTAGAGGCACATATCTTCAGAGGTTACATTTATAACATTTCATAAACAACTCTTAGGAGGACTATTTCTTCTACTAAACAGGTCTCAAACTTATTTTCTTTCAAGATGTGTTTCTTTAACAGATTATTTCAGATACACGCTTATTCTTTCTTTGTGATATTTCTGTTACAATAAAGATTTTTATTAGGGCTTTCCCTCTTTTTCCACATACATTAACTACTAATATAAATAAGTTACTTAACTTATTTAAACTACACGGGCCAAAAGCCAAAACCTTCCTGATTCTCACTACAGTAGAATCAGCCTTTCCCTGTAGTCCTTTAACTACAGACTACCTTACTGGTTCTCACTACACAATAGAACCAGTTACTCCTGCAGTTCACAGACTACCTCACTGGTTCTCCACACACTACAGAACCAGCCTTCCTGCAGTTCACAGACTACAGACTGACTGTTTTAAAATGGCTGCCCTGCCAAGTGGCAGTTGGCTCCACCCCTTTTTCATAGTAACCCAGCTCAAAGTGAGCTTTGCTGGCTACCATCCCCCCAATTATGCAACTTTAAATACTTACCCTTTTAAACGCCTATCTATAACTATACATAACTGTAGGTTAAAATTTACACTTCACCACACCTATACATTCAAAACAACTGGAGAAACCCATGTAACATTCAGCAACTGATTCAATGGCTGTGTTCTGGTTGGAACTAATACCGAATTGAGACTTTAACACAGAAATTGCTGGGCCAGGCAGAGTCCTCTATCCTAATAGATCAATGATGCAGCATGTTAATTAATTAATTAATTAATTACTATACTTATATACCTCCCCTCTCAGCCCACAGGCGACTCACGGTGGTTTACAGCCAGCATCAAGACCAAAAATATTAATTAATTAAAACATTAATTAAAACATTAATATAAATATAAAACAAGTAAAAACAATATCAATAAAAACATGTATCAACAGAGTCTCCTTGTGAAAAACATTGTCCAGTCGTTCCATTTTCCTATGTCTGTTACATTGCATCTGCAAACGCTTGCTCAAAAAGCCAAGTCTTGACGTTTTTTTCCGGACTGTTAAAAGGGAAGGAGTCGATCTGATATTCCTAGGGAGGGCTTTCCATAGCCGAGGGGCCACCACTGAGAAGGCCCTGTCCCTCGTCCCAGCCAGACATACTTGTGACAAAGGCTGCAATGCTCCCGTGGGATTCCTTCCCAGGTCATCCTCAGAGCTCAGGATGCTTGTCTGTTCTTAAAGTGAAAAGCACATGTCTGTGTTTTAGATGGATTAGGGATCAGTTGGTTTTCCCTGTCATAGGCAGTAAGAGCACCTAGAGATTCGGAGAGCTTCTGTTCAACCATCTCAGCAGCAGAGTAGCATAGCGCAAGGGCAGATGTCTTCACTGTATCTGGTTGTGATCCCAAGGTTGTGCCAGTCAGCTTTCCTATGATATTATTTCTAGCGCCCACTTAGAATCATAGATTCAAAAAGTTGGAAGAGACCTCATGGGCCATCCAGTCCAACCCCCTTTCAAGAGGCAGGAAAATTGCATTCAAATCACCCTTGACAGATGGCCATCCAGCCTCTGTTTAAAAGGTTCCAAAGAAGGAGCCTCTACCACACTCCGGGGCAGAGAGTTCCACTGCTGAACAGCTCTCACAGTCAGGAAGTTCTTCCTAATGTTCAGAGGGTGTTCCCTCTCATCCAGCCACAACTTGGGCCTTGCCTCCTGGTGGTGGGAATTGTGGGCTTCCAATGAAGGGGCCTCCACCACACTCCGGGGCAGAGAGTTCCACTGCTGAACGGCTCTCACAGTCAGGGGTTGTCGGGATTGATGCTCAGCTTGTTCCTCCTCACCCAGACAGCCATAACTTGGGCCTTGCCTCCTGGTGGTGGGAATTGTGGGCTTCCAACGAAGGAGCCTCCACCACACTCCGGGGCAGAGAGTTCCACTGCTGAACGGCTCTCACAGTCAGGGATTGTCGGGATTGCTCAGCTTGTTCCCCCTCATCCAGGCAGCCACAACTTGGGCCTTCCCTCCTGGTGGTGGGAATTGTGGGCTTCCAATGAAGGGGCCTCCACCACACTCCGGGGCAGAGAGTTCCACTGCTGAACGGCTCTCACAGTCAGGGATTGTCGGGATTGATGCTCAGCTTGTTCCCCCTCATCCAGGCAGCCACAACTTGGGCCTTGCCTCCTGGTGGTGGGAATTGTGGGCTTCCAATGAAGGAGCCTCCACCACACTCCGGGGCAGAGAGTTCCACTGCTGAACGGCTCTCACAGTCAGGGATTGATGCTCAGCTTGTTCCTCCTCATCCAGGCAGCCACAACTTGGGCCTTCCCTCCTGGTGGTGGGAATTGTGGGCTTCC